AAGTAGCTGTCAACTTCTTCCAAGTTAAAATCCTTGATAAGAAGTAGTTTTTCTCTTAGTTCTCTTGATTTTTAATGGATTTGAGTTTGGAAAGATTCAAATTTTATAAAATTTGTTTGCTCACTCGCAGTAACGCTGGGTAGATGTTTGAAAATTTTCAGTTTTCTCTCAAACTCATTGACAACGCTTTTTTCCAAGCATTCAGTTGAGTTCTTCAGTAGAATCCACTCTGAAAATTTTCGAGTTTATCCTTGGAAAGTGCACAACAGTTAAAAGGCCCTCCACAGATTTCTTTTGTTTTACTGAAAACAAAGAATTTAAGAGGCAAAAAAGACGTTACTGCAAGATGATGAGGGTGATCTATTCGGCTAAGGCTCCGTTACGGCTAGTCTTCAATTATTTCCTCGTTTCTCATGTCCCCTCTCTCTCCTGCTCTTGTCCTTCGTACTCCTTTGACTGGAAAATGATGATTTATGGAGTGGGACGAACAGCTGAGGAAAAGTTAGAGTGACATTTCTAGTTTCCATTACCGGGCTGGCAGAACGCCAGGCGGTAGACCTTTAGCTCTGAATGAAAGCGATCTGTCCAGCTACACCCAACGACATATGTTTCACCATCGAACCCAAGCCGAACAGACCACAGCACCGAGTCCGGGTCATTCGGTCAGCTGTTGCATTCTACACTTAGCAAAATCCAGAATGCCGCTGGGATTATCGGACAAAGAACGGGCTGGACGAACGTATAATATCCAAGGCAGCATATCAATTCACAAAAATGATAAGCCAGTGTAATTTGAGAGGATTGATCCACAAGTGTATTTCGCATACAACTTGTTTTAGTCTGACAATATTAAGAATGTAAAATAGCTGAAATTATGCAGACCTGATCTTATTGTTAGGATGTATTGAGTGCCCAACATGTTACTCTTGGATGTTATTGATAACGTCCAGACGTTAATGAAAACTCCTTGACAATACTGAAACCTCTTGGATATTACGAAGGTCTCATGGATGCTACTGGAAATTTTTGGATATTTTTAGTTAAAATCTAATTCAGGTAATTTCCTTCCAGCACCTGTTTTCGAACCTCAGTCCGCAAGATCTTCTTCGCAGAACACTCGCTAATCAGAGTGACAACGCCTTAAGCTCATAGAGCGATGCTTAGATTCTTATGAGCTG